CATTTGAATGAATAGTGTGTGTTGTGACTTCTTGTGGTCTTGTAAGTAATTACCAACGGCAAGACGAACGTTTCGCTTTCATATTCATGGTGAATATAGGACTATCTAGCTTAAGATACGGACTGTTGGCAGGGTATTGTGAACTAGGTACCGTAAACTGCTGAAAATATCTTGACTAGTTGGGCGATAGTCACCTTCTAAATAAGGACTCAGCTTCATGGGCGTTAGTAAACTTATTCGTTGATTTATCCATCAAAGGGGAAAAACTAAGAAAGGAGTGGTACATGCGAGTTTACGCAAGTTACTCATTGCGCACTTGCTATTGAACCCTTTTAATTTGAACTTTGTACTAAAAACACTTAGATCGGTGTGTAATCTTCCCAGCGGTAACAGGAATTTTGAAAACTTCTTACGGCTTTTGCTGAGCGGAAAGATATTGTAAAATATAAATAGAAATGAGTTGTATTTACAGTGGAAAAATAAACATACAGAGTTTTAAGATATGGAATTCAAGGGACAGTCAGAAGGGAACCTGAAGCTGGTTGTTATTTTAGCCGAGTGGCGCTCCGTCTTCTATCACGGCATTAGCAAGATCAAAGTTGTGAACGTTTCAGATAAAACAAAAAATAACAAAAGTGATGAGCGCGTTAAAGTATAACAAACAAGAGTAGAAACGAAGTGTATAAAGAAATGAGAACGTCTGAAATGTCGTTGCTTTGACTAGAAACCAAAGTTCCATACAAATTTTCCAACTTCGTTACTTCATCTTCACGTACATAATCAGTCTTATTGTAAATCACAAATGTCATTCGATGATGATTTTTATCCAGTGTAATTCTCTCTCTCTCTTTATCATTAATACTGCAGAAGCGGCGGTGTATTAAATAATTCATTGCTCTTTCTAAAACTTCTTTTCCTGTCCTGGGAATTTAACAAATATGCATACGGATTTTCCTTCCATTTTCATTTTTTTTCTTTTTATTCGTTTTTTCTTCAACTTTTCATTGTTCTTCCTCTTGTTATTTCAACACCGTTTACATATAATCCTATAACTGAGCCCTTTTTAAGACGTTAACAGTCGCGAAGGGTGTGAAGAAATTTCCGCTAATTTAAAAAAAAAGAACCGGAGGTTCATTATCGTATTTACAAGACCCGTCCACTGGACCTTATTCAGAGCAACATGAATCCAGTCCACACATAAATAAAAAAAACATGCTGAACTCTGATACCTGCTCCAGTTTCATAAAATTATTTTATCTAAAAAATTTAAATTCACATGAACAGTTGTATAAGAAGTCAGTTGAATGTAACGAAAATCTGTGTCTTTTTGTGTTTAATACTTTTATCTTCTTGCCTCGTTTATCCCGAATTTCTTTCCCCTTTCCACACCTTAATTTCCCTGACCCTTCGCGCTTTTCCCAGCTTTGTATCGCCCACAACTTGATTTAATGGAGCTTCTTCCATGTTCACACGTTAAAAACCTTAACCAAACTTCCTAAATTAAAATATAAATATTTAAACATGCGGCCCAAACGCACGTAGTTGAAGACTGATGTAACATGCCTACTCTATAATCTGAGTCGAAAAGCGTTTCTAGGTAAAATTATTTCTTAAAGTATGCCGTTGCAGGAAAGCAAGTTGAAATTTTTTAATAAAACTCGATAAAGACCTCTCAGGTAAAGAGCCGTGTCAGTTTTGGACAGAAGCTCAACGTTTCGGAGACCCTCTCCGCTTCCATCATCAGGGAAACGTTGGGTTGACCGCTATATGACCTTTTAATACAAGGTTGATATCTCCCCCGGTGGGTAATGGCAGCCGAACCCATTGGTCAGAGGTTGCACAGCGGACATATCAACCTTGTATCCAAAACATCATATCGCAGTTCACCCAGTATAAATCCCCTGATGAGGTCTTCGAAACTTTGAGTATTGTTCCGGCAGATTCCATTAAGCGTGAAATGTATGACCTTGAGAATTTTAAATATTTGTATCTGGCAAACTTTGGGCCGATTTTGTCGTGACTTCCACATAAGCTTTACCGAAGAAAATGGGTATTCCTAATTTGAAATTTGTGGTCTGGATTGAACATGTATAATCTGGTATAATGTACTACAATACGCCATGTAATACATTATTCCATGTAATATGTTTATCTGGAATTATTTGATAAACTGTTGACACGATTATGCCATTCTCATCCATCATATTTCACTTGAGCGAAAGAATAATCCTGATTTACATTACCGTATCCCATAACTGCACTTAGAATAATCTGGATATACGAACATTGCATGAACAGGAAAAAGCGAGGAAGTAAACGCTGTTTAAATAAACGCAGCGGTAAATATTTCCAATTAAGTATAGAGTTATAGGCCTAAATACAAATGGATTATATCCGTGAATATAAATGAATTCAACCTCTCCTTGTTCTGTTGATTAGTTTCATCATGTATAAGGGCAAAGAGGATATTATCGAAAGAAGATTTTTAAGCCGGTAAAAGCAGGTAATAGGCCTATATAATAATAATAATACAGACTACTAATTTTGTATGTATTCTATAAATTACAGTTAATTGCTGGTTTATATCATCGCTTGTAATTGGTAATTAATCGCAGCCATCGGTACTTGATGCTGTTGGAATTATTGTCCAAGAGGAGATATGCCTTTAAATTCCATGGAAGGGTTTCTCTCGTTTCAGTAATAACGATGTATTAATGTACACATAACTTTTAACTACCTGATCCGTAATTTGAATTACTAATGTAATTGTGAAGTCTTATTTATGACCTCTTTGAATTATGCCAATGAAGAATTGTTTTGATATTAATCAAATCGCGTGATATAATTAAGGTTTTGTGGAGGGCATAGACTGGCTATTTTGACTAAGGTTCTTTGTGATCTTCCTTAGTTTCTCCAAGAAAATTCTGGGACTTTACCTTGAAATAGTCCACGATCCTTTCCTTCGACACTCTATTCGCATTCATCTACAGTTGATATAGCGTCGTTATGTAAATCAATAGTCAGTCAACTCCCACATTCATTTCATAGCATTTGGTGCCATATTTGTAGTTAAATTAACATCTGAGGTCCGTGGGAGTTTCGTCACCTGCTCCAGAGTACAGCCACTTATTCGTCTCGGGTCAGATACGCGGGTTTCCCTGGGGCTTGTTCTATGCTGTAAACAAGGTGCACTTAAGAACGTACTGATTTTTGCTGCGTACTTCTGCCTGTTGGCCTGAGAATAAACGCTGAATAAGCGAAGTGTATGTCATTTTATCGTCAACAAATTCGACAAAAACAAGTTAAAATTATGTCCACGAAGAAATTAAGAGTAGATGGAATTCGGAAAATTTAAAGATTGACTGATTTTACCAGCTGTTTCATATGGTTGTCAAAACTTACCCCCTCTCCATAAAAATATATTGAGGTGTTCCAAACGAAAATATTTAGACCTAAGAGAAGAATAAACAGGAGGTGAATAAAATTTCAGAATGAGCATCTTCAGTATTTATCCTTTTTACCAAATAGTATTACAGGGATCAAGTCGGGGAGGACGAGATGAACGGAGAATTTAGCACACATGAGAGAGATGTGAAATACACACAAAGTTTTAATCGGAAAACCTAGAGGAAAGAAACTCTTCGGGAAACACAGGCTTAGATGGGAGAATAATATTAAAACAGGTCCTAAAGAATAACATTTGACGGCGTGGACTGAAATCATGTGATCTAGAATATGCTTCAGTGGTCGTCTGCTGTGAATAAGTCGAGTCGACTTTTAGGTTTCATAAATGGTTGGAAATTTCTTCCCTGACTGAGCAATTATGAATTTTTAATAAGGACTATTTAACGGATTTGTTTCATTTTGAGAAATATCCGGACAGAAAACGGACGCCTAACAAAGTTACAATAAATATATCGAATCACTTTGACAGTTTTAATATTGAGTTTCTTCTTTTTTCCCAGTCAGCTGTTCAGCGTTGCGTCATGATTTACGATTGTGCCCAGGATAATTCCTCCCCGTAATTTTCATGTGACTCCTTGTTATGTACCGACTGTACATTACGCAAATTTATCGCTATGAGTTGGGAATCAAGCAGTCAAATTATTGACGTAACGCATGAAGAGAACTTTAGGTTGAGTGGCTGTACTAGAACACGGTGAAAATTCGTAATCAAATTTGTAGACCTTTGGAGCGGTTTGAACCTCGTCTAATTAGAGGCATGAGGAAGGCTACAAAGAGGTGGATACTGGAGGCGAATACAGTTCTTTAGTTGGGAAAATTAGCGTCAGTAGCCACTTCGGCGTATATAAACAACAGTGCGTGTTATTGAGGATGTTTTCTGCTGGTCTAATTTAGGTATCTCTTATAAACAGGTGAATGTAGGGATAACGATATTTATTAGAGACTGTGTTTATGCTGAAACGTATGGACGAAAGAATAGTATACTTAATTCAAGGATCGTGATATATTCTCTTTCTTTCGGAGTACAACGGATATGACATAGAGCGTTTCCTGTGGTATTCCACAGTGGCAGTTCTACTGACCTTGCCCTGAGCTACAATGCAGATAACAGAAACTAGATTATATATGTGTCCAGAGGGACCTTGCTATGCAGACCTGCAGACTGATGATATTCCGTAAGCAGTATTACGTGTTAAGAATGCTATGAGGAGTGAAGGACACTACAGTGCGGGTGGTATTTGATGCATTATTCACACAATGACTCTCGAACGACGGTCTGTTCATAAACACTTGGAGCGTCAATGGGGTCAAAGAGTATATTGAAAGCCGAAGGTTGTGGTCGAGTCATTTTCAAATTGACCGCCGAGAGAACCTGAAATCTTACTATGTTCTTTTATAACTCTGCACCATCTATTTTAAATCAGTAAAATTTAAATGTTTATCAGCTTCGTCACATTTAAATAACTTGCAAATATAGTAGAAAAAATATTCGCTTTGTTGTTCAAATTAGATAAACAACTTTATTCTGCTTTCAGGTGCTGATATTTGCGTTACATCGTCCTGGTGAGTAAACATTGAATTATTACGTTCTTAATCAATCTGTTACACAAGTATTTTAAATATCTTGATATAGCTGTGATGTGTCAGGAAAGTCAGTTTTGTAGTATTGGGCGAAATATTTTCAGCTGAAACAATGGATCACGTATTCCTTGTAAATTGATAGCCACAAAAATGCTTAATACATGTGTTGATCATAGCCATCAATAAATTAATTGATACCACATTAATGAGCTGGGGTGGACGGGGTCAGGTTGCTTGTAGCTAGCTATCTGCTGCATTAAAACACGGGTAGACGCATTATACATATTCGCCCAAGGTCTCCCTAGTTACTAAATTCTCCAAAACTTTGCATGTCATGCATAATGTTGTTACCTACAAGACTACATGATGTTTTCCTAGAACAACACAGTCCTCCTCTTCAATACTTTTTTCCTAGTAGTGAGGTGTAAGGATAAAATGTCGGCCCGACTGGCAGATAGCTTGAGGATTTTCTCTGTTTTCCTCAGTCCTCTGGTAAAATATTGGAATAATACCTTAACATAGTTGACGACTATTTCTTTGCATATTAGGTCCTATACCATTCTCTACAGTGTGCCTTCGGCTGCTGAAAGGGCATCGTTAAGTAGGTGAAGACTCGCGTTCTACTGAAGGCACCGCCATTGTAACTTAAACAGTTCTTGCCCTTTCGTGTCACTGTTTAATAATGGACTCGCTGCTGCCAGTTGTGCGTGTTCAAGGAAAATTGTTGAAAAGAAGCTTAATTAAAATAGTTTTCCTTTCGCTGCAAACCTTTCTGCGTTTCACTCCATTGCCGCCAGTCTTCTCTTCGTCAGGCCCCTCTTAAACCACCTTCGGTGGACTCTGAATAAGGCGCATTTTGCTTTCTGCTTGAAGTGAATATCCGAATACAAACAGGAGACACACGCAAAGCGGAGCGGGTCTGTGAATCGACTTTGAGTCTGTAAACGCTGTTCATTCGAACAGTTAATAGCCAAAATTTGTGTGTTCGGAATCTGTTACAATGAATTGATTTCCAATTAAAGAATTTGTGATTGTGTCTCCGACGTTTTACTAAAGTAGAAATTTCTCAGCACTGGTCGAATACTGCATTGGACTCTATGAAATATTCGTTGCAAACACGTTCAGTTAATCGTTTGCACTGATTTGTTTAAAAAAAATATTCCGCATTTTGAAATACTCTTGCTAAATATGCATGGTTTCTGAAGATTAGATACGATCTCTCGATGTACAGAACTTTCACGAGCGTTAATTAAAGCTAACAAAGCCAGTTTCATATTTAAATTCTGACGTTCCTGTCGTTTGTATGGTTGGACTTTTTTTTCAGAACTGTTTTGTTATGAACGCAATTTGTTTCATTGTTTAAAATAGTCAATATTTTGAACGTCGGCCGCTGGAATGGAATGTTATAACTCAAAATAAACAGGGCATAGTGTACAAGTGAAGTACGATCATATACATTTACAAATAATAAAGCGTGTTTTGTTATTAACAGAATTATTGGACAACAGTTATTTCAAGTCCGACTACGATTATAACTCCACGCGTATTTGAATCAACAATGCGTTAAAACACTGTATAATTTCTAGTATTATTCATTTGTTTGCATTACTGTGCGTAATTTTAATAAAGAAAACTGTAAAATATAATGGTTTTTTCCCAATGTCCGCTCACGTAATGAAAAGTCGATGTTCTTTTGTTTATTGGTTTTGTGCAAAGAATGTGGCCGATCACAGTGGCCGCACGGTCTTGGATGGTGGAACACCGTAATCGTGAATTCGAATTTCACTCGACGCATGATTGGCGTGTTCGCCATTCTGTGTTTTGCGCTCTGATGGCTTTGCGGTGGGCCCGTCCCCCATGAGAGAAATTCTGCCAAATGTCTAAAAGGTTAGGTCAGAAATTAATTTTGAACTGTAATAGGCCAAAAGGACTTAACTGTAAATAATAAAAAGAAGATTTGTACAAATAACGAAGCTTCGTAGCATATTTTTATAAAACCTTTGTTAGTATAGTTGTAATTATTTTTCTTGTATCGTACACTAATATGAAAAGGCGGGGTACAATATCGGAATTTGTATTGATCACTGTTGTTTGGAAAGTACTATAAGAAATTTCTAGTATTATTGCTGCTGTCGGAGGTGAGGAGCCATTTGACTCACGCCTAGTTATAACAATATCTATGCGCTGAACTGCGTCAGCTGGGCCTGCATCGTGACAACAGTCAGAGCTGACGTCACGATCACAGTCAGCAGTCTGAAGATGAGTGTCCGGTCAATATCAATGATTACTAGAGGGTAATGACGCAAAATTGAAGTGTATTTACACATTAACCGCTTGGAACATTAACCCTTCACTCGCTCAGCAAATTATTCCGATAGAATGATGAGCAGGTTTATTGTAGTATTAACATGATATTCCAAGTTCGAATTTTGTGAATTGGATCTGAACAGATTATTCAATAAGCGACAAAATTTTGAATTTACAATCGAAGTCTGAAGGTTCCTGACAATGGAACGTCGTAATATGTAAAGTGTCTTTTGGAATTCGTCGATCATATATATTATAAAATCGTGATGTAACAACGTTTTGGAAGCTGGATTCCGCTTTCATCATTAGGTAACGAAGGGAGAAGAGGCCAGAAAGCCTGTCTGTTGGGTCCCCTGGCCGAGCCAGCCTCACACCTAGACCCTGGTCGTCTTCTGATAGAGAAGCACGTGGTTTACAATTCTGCAAACCCACGCATTAGTGATGATTTCTTTAATAGTGGGCAGAATAGTTCCTGATAAAGCCAGTTCCTTTCCGAAATACAGATTGATGTCCGGTATTTAAAACATTCGTTCTGGACCGCTTAAGATCAGTTGCCGAACATTTATGCTGCCATGAAGCACAGATGGAGGCTGTTGCCCCCTTTCCAGTACCACCGCTTTGATGTTCTTCACTTTAAAATGCTAACGAGTACCATAGCCTCGCGTCTAATAAGATCTAAGAGCCCCCTACATGATCAAATATGTGGAAACAATATTCAGTCATTACAAGTAACATTTTACGGCGTTAACTTTCAGCGTTTCTAAGCACTTAATAGTCTTTTAATTGCGTT